GTATGTGACAGTAGTCAGGTGTACTATATGTGACTGTAGTCAGGTGTACTGTATGTGGCTGAAGTGAGGTGTACTATATGTGACAGTAGTCAGGTGTACTGTATGTGGCTGAAGTCAGGTGTACTGTATGTGACTGTAGTCAGGTGTACTATATGTGACTGTAGTCAGGACTACTGTATGCGACTGTAGTCAGGTGTACTGTATGTGACTGTAGTCAGGTGTACTATATGTGACTGTAGTCAGGTGTACTGTATGTGACTGTAGTCAGGTGTACTGTATGTGACTGTAGTCAGGACTACTGCATGTGACTGTAGTCAGGTGTACTGTATTTGACTGTAGCCAGGGCTACTGTATGTACTCCTGAAGGCTTTGCATGGCCTTCACACAACATCAGATCCCGATGGCGCACCAACCTGTGTCCATCGGCTTTGCCTGTACTCCACAAAGCGTAGGATCCCGATGGCACAGCTTCCTGTGTCTGTCGGCTTTGCCTGTACTCCACAAAGCGTAGGATCCCGATGGCACAGCTTCATGTGTCTGTCGGCTTTGCCTGTACTCCACAAAGCGTAGTATCCCGATGGCGCACCTTCCTGTGTCTGTCGGCTTTGCCTGTACTCCACAAAGCGTAGTATCCCGATGGCGCACCTTCCTGTGTCTGTCGGCTTTGCCTCTACTCCACAAAGCGTTGTATCCCGATGGCGCACCTTCCTGTGTCTGTCGGCTTTGCCTGTACTCCACAAAGCGTTGTATCCCGATGGCGCACCTTCCTGTGTCTGTCGGCTTTGCCTGTACCGCACACAACATCAGATCCCGATGACGTACCTTCCTGTGTCTGTCGGCTTTGCCTGTACTCCACAAAGCGTAGGATCCCGATGGCGCACCTTCATGTGTCTGTCGGCTTTGTCTGTACTCCACAAAGCGTAGGATCCCGATGACGCACCAACCTGTGACTGTCGGCTTTGCCTCTACTCCACAAAGCGTAGAGTCCCGATGGCGCACCTCCATGTGTCTGTCGGCTTTGCCTGTACTCCACAAAGCGTAGTATCCCGATGACGCACCTTCCTGTGTCTGTCGGCTTTGCCTGTACTCCACAAAGCGTAGTATCCCGATGACGCACCAACCTGTGTCTGTCGGCTTTGTCTGTGCTCCACAAAGCGTAGGATCCCGATGGCGCACCTTCATGTGTCTGTCGGCTTTGCCTGTACCGCACACAACATCAGATCCCGATGACGCACCAACCTGTGTCTGTCGGCTTTGCCTGTACTCCACAAAGCGTAGGATCCCGATGGCGCACCTTCCTGTGTCTGTCGGCTTTGTCTGTACCGCACACATCAGATCCCGATGGCGCACCAACCTGTGTCTGTCGGCTTTGCCTGTACTCCACAAAGCGTAGGATCCCGATGGCGCACCAACCTGTGTCTGTCGGCTTTGTCTGTACCGCACACATCAGATCCCGATGGCGCACCTTCCTGTGTCTGTCGGCTTTGCCTGTACAGCATACATTGATCAAATGCCGGTCACAGTTTTATCTTCAAATTGTAAGGAGGTGTTGAGGATTCTAAAAGAGAAATACTTGTGTATATTCTTAATTGAATGTTTACAAAGTGTGCTATATATTACAGGGGGACCATTGGAGCCACCAATGAAATCTGTATTACAAGACATTACATAAAAAAAACGGTTCTTATGATGTTGGTTCTATTACATGTGTAGCCAGAAATTGCGGTTGTCAATGGGCTAGATATTGATTTCATCCACACCGACTGTATGTTTGACTCGGCGATCGTGGCTGATGAATCTGGTGGAGGAATACGTTATTACCATACGCCAAGTGCAACGCAGTCAACACACTCATGACCAACGCGTTACCTGCTGTCATAAAGTTGGGGCTGCTGTTTTTCGCCTGAGAAGTTGAAACAAATCCGTGGTGATCATTCACATACAGTGTCCTTGGCCAGCTGACAACCAGCAGCAAGATGTCACACAGTTACAACGTAGGAATTTTCACACTGATTATAGGATACCTAAGTACTGGGGAAAACTTACATTTTCAGTAAAGAAATAAAGCAATAAATTTCAACTCGCCTATTGTTTTCTTGAGTATTTTGCAACAATAGATACAAGGAGTGGTACATTTGCAGACACAAACATAACGGGGTGTACATAAAAGTACATATTGATACATTACAGTGGAAGGACTAGTTATAACACGAGATTAATCATGCCTAACATAATCCTACCTTTGTGTGTTTGAAATTTCAAATGACATCATGGTTGAAGGACATTGTGAAGCTAGATTATGTTAGGACACACGGGAAGATATCAGGGGTGTGTTTGTGAGGCTCGGGGTGGTTGGTAAACGTGGAGCTACGTGACATCATAATGATTGGAATCTTCTAGGAAGTTATACCAGCAATAATGTTTCGATATATTCCAACGAAACAAATATAGACTGAGGGGCAAAATAAACTATGCCAATTTTTATTATAATGTAATTTATATAACATATTGTTTCAATGAAGACTGGGGTATGAAATGAATTTGCAACCGCGTGACACCTACCATGTTTGATATGTTGTAAATTTGTTCATTTTCCAATATAGGATGACTAAGAGACCCATCAGCAGTGAAAAAAAGACGTAGCTATTTTCAATTGAAAATCGAACATATGATAAAATCAACTGAGAGGTATAGTTTCTTTTGCTTCAATTTATTTAATAAAGGGACGACCACCGATGTGAAATTAGACGTTATCAATAGGCTCTTTTTGTGTGGCTAATTCAAGCATTGGCAATAATGTGCCTTTGTGAGCAGCAGAAAGTGTATATCTTGTCATTTCAATAAACATGTTTTGTTTTGTTTTATATTTAGACATATTTAACTATTTCATCCTGCATTTCATACAAAATGCTCAAACTCCGCCTCTTTCTCGGTACGTATATTTTTGTGTTAGTCATAAGTATCATGTATATAAACGCTAGTCATATATCATGAATATAAACGCTAGTCATATATCATGAATATCAACGTCAGTCATATATCATGAATATGGACAGAGCTGTGACTAGCCAGTTGTTGCACTACACAGTCCGTCCAGGCTTACCAGTTGTCTCACTATCCCCAAACACAGCTCCGTCCAGGCTTACCAGTTGTCTCACTATCCCCCAACACAACTCCGTCCAGGCTTACCAGTTGTCTCACTATCCCCCAACACAGCTCCGTCCAGGCTTACCAGTTGTCTCACTATCCCCCAACACAGCTCCGTCCAGGCTTACCAGTTGTCTCACTATCCCCCAACACAGCTCCGTCCCATGTGACTTGACTGACTGCATCTTATCTTGACCTGGTGGAACAGATAAGGTGGTGTGGCTTGGTGACTTGGCTGACTGCATCTTATCGTGCTCTGGTGGAACAGATAAGGTGGTGTGGCTTGGTGACTTGACTGACTGCATCTTATCGTGCCCTGGTGGACAGATAAGGTGGTGTGGCTTGGTGACTTGACTGACTGCATCTTATCGTGCCCTGATGGTGTGCATGAGGTGGTGTGGCTTGGTGACTTGGCTGACTGCATCTTATCGTGCTCTGGTGGAACAGATAAGGTGGTGTGGCTTGGTGACTTGACTGACTGCATCTTATCGTGCCCTGGTGGACAGATAAGGTGGTGTGGCTTGGTGACTTGGCTGACTGCATCTTATCGTGCCCTGGTTGTGTGGATGAGGTGGTGTGGCTTGGTGACTTGGCTGACTGCATGTTATCGTGCCCTGGTTGTGTGGATGAGGTGGTGTGGCTTGGTGACGCGGCTGACTGCATCTTATCGTGCCCTGGTTGTGTGGATGAGGTGGTGTGGCTTGGAGACGCGGCTGACTGCATCTTATCGTGCCCTGGTTGTGTGGATGAGGTGGTGTGGCTTGGTGACGCGGCTGACTGCATCTTATCGTGCCCTGGTGGTGTGGATGAGGTGGTGTGGTTTTGTGACTTGGCTGACTGCATCTTATCATGTCCTTGTGGTGTGGATGAGGTGGTGTGGCTTGGTGACGCGGCTGGCTGCATGTTATCGTGCCCTGGTGGTGTGGATGAGGTGGTGTGGATGAGGTGGTGTGGCTTGGTGACGCGGCTGACTGCATGTTATCGTGCCCTGGTGGAGTGGATGAGGTGGTGTGGATGAGGTGGTGTGGCTTGGTGACTTGGCTGACTGCATGTTATCATGTCCTGGTGGTGTGGATGAGGTGGTGTGGATGAGGTGTTGTGGCTTGGTGACTTGGCTGACTGCATGTTATGTCCTGGTGGTGTGGATGAGGTGTTGTGGCTTGGTGACTTGGCTGACTGCATGTTATCATGTCCTGGTGGTGTGGATGAGGTGTTGTGGTTTGGTGACTTGGCTGACTGCATGTTATCATGTCCTGGTGGTGTGGATGAGGTGTTGTGGCTTGGTGATGTGGCTGACTGCATGTTATCGTGCCCTGGTGGTGTGGATGGGGTGGTACGGATGAGGTGGTGTGGATGAGGTGGTGAGGCTTGGTGACGCAGTTGACTGCATGTTATCGTGGCGCCCTGATGGAATGGATGAAGTGGCTCTGCAACCAGTCACACTTCCACAATCCATCCGTTAGCCTGAATGACACAGCAATCAGCGTTACGGGTCATAACGGCAACGCCTAACATGTCATGACTGTCAGCATGATAAAGATGGTAGCAAGACTTCTTCAAAAAGACAACTTGACAGCACTGAGCACATCGCCAATGCTGATGTTGCCGGGCCAACTGAAAACATCATTGTCAGTTTCAAACTTGGTCCCACATACAGTGGAGTTGAGCAGCGAGGAGACATTGTTGAATTGTGTCTGATAATGCTCCCTTTGGCCCCTGTGTTTATCTTGGATCACTTCACCATTTTCCGATCAAGTCAGACAACATGGAATTGCTACAGTAAGAATATATCATAAAATTTGGAACTGACTTTTTTTTATGTTGAGTACATTCACAAGCAACAAACCCCACTGTTTATCTCAACTGGTTTATGTACATTATGGTACAGAGCATGACAAATAAATACAAAACAGAAATGTCTGCAGATACAGTCTGTCTGCTATTCCTCCCATAATCAGCTCAGATAAATCCTTCACACTAACAAACTATTCTCTGAGAAACTTGGCAATATAACCTGCCAGCTGTATTGTTTTCATCCCCTTTTCATCTGCAAGAGAATACGAATGTAAATAATGATTTGGGCTAAACAAACTGACTGCCTTGCTTCACCGATTTTCTGGATCAAAAAACCGAGAGGCAGGAGAAAACAAACAATAATATCTGGTCAGCTTACACTCCTACATGTAGTCTTCAAATAAGAGATTAACAAAAACACAAAGCAAAAGTTGTTGAACACATTTTCACTCAAACAAGAGTTTTTGGTTTTATTTTTTTGTTTACAAGGGCAAAATAGGTCTGGCAATAAACAGCAAACAATAACTCCATAAAAAAATGAGTTCTTATTCCTACTTCTGATTTTTTCATAAAATATGATGGTCTCATATTCATTTCTTGGCATACCTCTGTGATGCTGCAACAGAAAACCTCAAATTACTCAAAAGCAAGCAGCTCTACAACATCCGACCAATCGAGACTCTATATTTCACACAATGGACTCCAGGAATCTTGATAGCCACCAAACAACAGCCAAATGCCAACTGGTTTATGAAATGGTCAATATGTCTGTTGTGGCTCATGACACTTGTCTGGACTTGAACTGAACTTCTGATCTGGCTAACACAATTTGTATCCCATGTAAAACTTGTTAATATACATACTCAATCACGCAGCTGGTAATCTAAACATCAAGGGTACCATTACCATACTGATCTGTTACAGTGTAAGTGATTAACTTCTTAGATATGATGAAATTGTCAGTGATTAGATGAAATCATTGGAAAGACCAATCAAAACTGTCTGTGTCTTTATTTGATCATTACCATGTTCTGGTTTCATAGCCTTATTTGAGCATTTCTTAGCTTTCAGCTGGTGAAAAATGTGGTTTGTTCTCGTGAGAGAAAGTGTTAGAAAATTTTTTTTAGACCACTCAGACCCATACTGCTGAGACAGTCATCTGGAGAATGCTTGTGATGATCCAATAAATACCTGATGCTAGCAACTGAATTGTATCTATCTCAATTCTTATAGTTCAAACAAAAAAACCCTCCTATGTGAGATACAAAGAGATATAAAGAGACAACTTAATTTATTTCTTGGTCTTTCAGCTGAATATCAGAGCAGTTCCTACACAATCTCTGAGTAAACAAACACTGCAACATACATAGATATAAGATAAAGGCAACAGACTGCAACAAGCAATTGGCCTTCCAGAAAGTGTCCTCTTGTTTATCATCTTAGTTCTCTGAGCAATGCCACAATGTTCCTAACCTTGACCTAGACAGAAGGTCATCTGACAGACAGGCTCTTGAGTTCTTCCAGAAGGGTTTCCTCAGTCTTCAGTTTCTCCAGCTGTAACAAAGAAAGGCAGTTTGTGAGTCAAAAACATCAACAGCCTTCCCTCGAATGTCAAACAGAAATCTAGGTAGTATAGCCTTGTGCCCACTAAGCATACCCATTCCATTAAATTGACACATACATTTGAAAGTACAAATAAGTAAACAGCAATACTATCCTTGCCATGGGGCACATTAAGTTAAGTTTGTTCATATAGTAGCCAATATACATGGAGAAGGGGAGGTAAACTCCAGAAAAACAAGCAGGACATACTCACATCCCCCGCCAATATGACATGTCCATTGTGTGCAAGGCATTAGCTCCTGTGAACTATGTTCACTGGACCTTTTCGTAAATGGCATAATTGCAGCACTAAAAAAGTTATTACTGGTGGGTTTTTTGCCATCTGCAGTTTATGACAGAATATGCAACTGTATTTGTAAGGAGTTGTGTTATTACAATAATGAGAGAAATAAGGGAGTTCTTACTTTACTTAGAGAGCATTGAGAGCAGGGGTTATCATGAGGTGTACTGAGAAGTACAGCACCAATCATCTGATGATCTGAGTAGTAGACTGGAGTCTGGAATGCTACAGCACTGGCATAATCAGTAAACAACAAGTCCAGTGTAGCTCCAAGACAGTGAGTGAGTTGAGTCATTTTCTGCACATTAAAGAAATCTTCCAAGTTTCACAGTTGAAATCCCCAGAAACTAGGGCATGTTCGCATTTAGGCTGCTTGGAGAGTTCCTGAAGTTTCTGCATGAAACCAGTAAGTGAATGTGACAACCGTGTCCATGACACTTTGGGAGGAACATACACACAAGCAATCCTGAACTTGAGAACAAGAAAGGAAATGTAATCAATACTGCGAGATGACATTACATCACATAGCTGTACACTGTCCTTGAAACAGCAATACCATGTAGTGTCTCCTGTATATACTTGATATCCTTGTCTTTTTCGATGTAATCATTGATGTGAACCACACCCACAAACTTATCATTCTTCACATCTTCGAAATAAGCATTGAGTGATCGAACATTCAAGTGTGCCACCTTGAGCCACCATCGCCATGACTGTTCTCTACAGGGTGTGTCCAAGTGGACACAGTCTTTCATTCCGCATTCTTGTCATCTCATCCAATGCTTTTTCGTTTACTTCAATTTTGTGTTCCTACAAGTTTTAGGCGTTTCCTTGATTTGACTCTACTGAGCATTGAATACACTTGACCAGGCTGGGCTTTAAATTTACTTCCTATTGTAATTGTCACGTTTTCCAATCGAAAAAAGAAATTTTCCAAAAATCCAAACTATCAAAATGAACCAGTTCACCACTAGAACTATCTATGTGCCAAGTTTGGTTAAGATATCTCTCATTTTCTGCTCCGGAAATGAAACATGACGGACAAATGGATGGACAGATTGACAGTCGGACAGACGGACAGAACCCATTCCTATTCCCCTTCCACTTCGTGGTGGGGGACAATAAAGGCAATAATTTAAACCTCAAATAATTAATTTTAAGTGTAACATGGTTGTCTGTCACACCTCCACCCATTGCTCACCACATCAACATGGTTGTCTGTCACACCTCCACCCGCTGCTCACCACATCAACATGGTTGTCTGTCACACCTCCACCCGTTGCTCACCACATCAACATGGTTGTCGGTCATACCTCCACCCGTTGCTCACCACATCAACATGGTTGTCGGTCATACCTCCACCCGTTGCTCACCACATCAACTTGGTTGTCGGTCATACCTCCACCCGTTGCTCACCACATCAACATGGTTGTCGGTCACACCTCCATCCGCTGCTCACCACATCAACATGGTTGTCGGTCACACCTCCATCCGCTGCTCACCACATCAACATGGTTGTCGGTCATACCTCCACCCGTTGCTCACCACATCAACATGGTTGTCGGTCACACCTCCATCCGCTGCTCACCACATCAACATGGTTGTCGGTCATACCTCCACCCGCTGCTCACCACATCAACATGGTTGTCGGTCACACCTCCATCCGCTGCTCACCACATCAACATGGTTGTCTGTCACACCTCCACCCGCTGCTCACCACATCAACATGGTTGTCGGTCATACCTCCACCCGCTGCTCACCACATCAACATGGTTGTCGGTCACACCTCCATCCGCTGCTCACCACATCAACATGGTTGTCGGTCACACCTCCACCCGCTGCTCACCACATCAACATGGTTGTCTGTCACACCTCCACCCGCTGCTCACCACATCAACATGGTTGTCTGTCACACCTCCACCCGCTGCTCACCACATCAACATGGTTGTCTGTCACACCTCCACCCGCTGCTCACCACATCAACATGGTTGTCTGTCACACCTCCACCCGCTGCTCACCACATCAACATGGTTGTCTGTCACTCCTCCACCCATTGCTCACCACATCAACATGGTTGTCTGTCACTCCTCCACCCGCTGCTCACCACATCAACATGGTTGTCTGTCACTCCTCCACCCGCTGCTCACCACATCAACATTGGGACACGTTCTCTATCCATGCTCTTTTCATACCCATCATAACATAGGCAGGCACAAAAACGCGAACACAAAAAGTGAGTTACTTTGTTATGTCGTGACTTCATTTCAGTGCATGAAGCAGAGCCAGTACATTTAGCATTGTAATCTCGGGACCATTGCATGAAGCAGAGCCTGTAAATTTAGTTTAGTAATCTCAAGACCATTGCATGAAACTGAGCCAGTACATTTAGTTTAGTAATTTCGGGACCATTGCATGAAGCAGAGCCAGTACATTTAGTATAGTAATTTCGGGACCATTGCATGAAACTGAGCCAGTACATTTAGTATAGTAATCTTGGGACCATTGCATGAAGCAGAGCCAGGACATTTAGTTTAGTAATTTCGGGACCATTGCATGAAACTGAGCCAGTACATTTAGTATAGTAATTTCGGGACCATTGCATGAAACTGAGCCAGTACATTTAGTTTAGTAATCTTGGGACCATTGCATGAAGCAAAGCCAGTACATTTAGTTTAGTAATCTTGGGACCATTGCATAAAGCAGAGCCAGGACATTTAGTATAGTAATTTCGGGAATATTGCATGAAGCAGAGCCAGTACATTTAGTATAGTAATTTCGGGACAATTGCATGAAGCAAAGCCAGTACATCTAGTTTAGTAATCTCAAGACCATTGCATGAAGCAAAGCCAGTACATTTAGTATAGTAATTTCGGGACAATTGCATGAAGCAGAGCCAGTACATTTAGTATAGTAATTTCGGGACAATTGCATGAAGCAGAGCCAGTACATCTAGTTTAGTAATCTTGGGACCATTGCATGAAGCAAAGCCAGTACATTTAGTATAGTAATCTTGGGACCATTGCATGAAGCAGAGCCAGTACATTTAGTATAGTAATTTCGGGAATATTGCATGAAGCAGAGCCAGTACATTTAGTTTAGTAATCTTGGGACCATTGCATGAAGCAGAGCCAGTACATTTAGTATAGTAATTTCGTGAATATTGCATGAAGCAGAGCCAGTACATTTAGTATAGTAATCTTGGGACCATTGCATGAAGCAGAGCCAGGACATTTAGTAAAGTAATTTTGGGACAATTGCATGAAGCAGAGCCAGTACATTTAGTATAGTAGATTTACTTCCAAGTTGTATCTACAGTGGGTCAAAAGTTTACAGATTTTGAATGGGCCACTTTTCGTCATTGTGCACTAAAACAATATCTGTGTCAGTTTCCCCGAGGACATATGATCAAGGCCTAAGGATATTTGTGAATCTTGAACCTAGTGACCAAACAGCAATCTTTGTAGTCACAGATTCGTGATTGCTATTTTGAAATGTGATCTAGTTTTGACAAAGTCAGCAACCCCTCTGTCCCTGATACTACACATCAGCACCCCCTTCTGTCCCTGATACTACACAACAGCACACACACAAACCCCTCTGTCCCTGATACCACACATCAGCACCACCCTCTGTCCCTGATACAACACACCAGCCCCACCCTCTGTCCCTGATACAACACATCAGCACCCCCTTCTGTCCCTGATACAACACACCAGCCCCACCCTCTGTCCCTGATACAACACATCAGCACCACCCTCTGTCCCTGATACCAAAGATCAGCACCCCCTTCTGTCCCTGATACAACACACCAGCCCCACCCTCTGTCCCTGATACAACACATCAGCCCCACCCTCTGTCCCTGATACCACACATCAGCACCCCCTTCTGTCCCTGATACAACACACCAGCCCCACCCTCTGTCCCTGATACAACACACCAGCCCCACCCTCTGTCCCTGATACAACACATCAGCACCACCCTCTGTCCCTGGGACTACACATCAGCACCACCCTCTGTCCCTGATACAACACATCAGCACCACCGTCTGTCCCTGATACTACACATCAGCACCACCCTCTGTCCCTGATACCACACATCAGCACCACCCTCTGTCCCTGATACAACACACCAGCCCCACCCTCTGTCCCTGATACAACATATCAGCCCCAGCCCCAGCACCACCCTCTGTCCCTGGGACTACACATCAGCACCACCCTCTGTCCCTGATACCACACATCAGCACCACCCTCTGTCCCTGATACAACACACCAGCCCCACCCTCTGTCCCTGATACTACACATCAGCACCCCCTTCTGTCCCTGATACTACACAACAGCAACACCATCTGTCCCTGATACCACACATCAGCACCCCCTCTGTCCCTGATACAACACACCAGCCCCACCCTCTGTCCCTGATACAACACATCAGCACCACTCTGTCCCTGATACAACACATCAGCACCACTCTCTGTCCCTGATACTACACATCACCACCCCCTTCTGTCCCTGATACTACACAACAGCAACACCATCTGTCCCTGATACCACACATCAGCACCCCCCTCTGTCCCTGATACAACACACCAGCCCCACCCTCTGTCCCTGATACAACACATCAGCACCACTCTGTCCCTGATACCACACATCAGCACCCCCCTCTGTCCCTGATACAACACATCAGCACGACCCTCTGTCCCTGATACAACACATCAGCACCACTCTCTGTCCCTGATACAACACATCAGCCCCACCCTCTGTCCCTGATACTACACATCAGCACCCCCTTCTGTCCCTGATACTACACACCAGCAACACCCTCTGTCCCTGGGACTACACAACAGCAACACCCTCTGTTCCTGATACTACACACCAGCACCACCATCTGTCCCTGATACCACACATCAGCACCCCCCTCTGTCCCTGATACAACACACCAGCCCCACCCTCTGTCCCTGATACAACACATCAGCACCACTCTGTCCCTGATACCACACATCAGCACCCCCCTCTGTCCCTGATACAACACATCAGCACGACCCTCTGTCCCTGATACAACACATCAGCACCACTCTCTGTCCCTGATACAACACATCAGCCCCACCCTCTGTCCCTGATACTACACATCAGCACCCCCTTCTGTCCCTGATACTACACACCAGCAACACCCTCTGTCCCTGGGACTACACACCAGCAACACCCTCTGTTCCTGATACTACACACCAGCACCACCCTCTGTTCCTGATACTACACAAAAGCACCCCACTCTGTTCCTGATACTACACACCAGCCCCACCCTCTGTCCCTGATACTACACAACAGCACCACCCTCTGTCCCTGATACTACACACCAGCAACACCCTCTGTTCCTGATACTACACACCAGCACCACCCTCTGTTCCTGATACTACACAAAAGCACCCCACTCTGTTCCTGATACTACACACCAGCCCCACCCTCTGTCCCTGATACTACACACCAGCAACACCCTCTGTCCCTGGGACTACACACCAGCACCACCCTCTGTCCCTGATACAACACATCAGCACCACCCTCTGTCCCTGATACAACACATCAGCACCACTCTCTGTCCCTGATACAACACATCAGCCCCACCCTCTGTCCCTGATACTACACATCACCACCCCCTTCTGTCCCTGATACTACACAACAGCAACACCATCTGTCCCTGATACCACACATCAGCACCCCCCTCTGTCCCTGATACAACACATCAGCACCACTCTCTGACCCTGATACAACACATCAGCCCCACCCTCTGTCCCTGATACTACACATCAGCACCCCCTTCTGTCCCTGATACTACACAACAGCAACACCATCTGTCCCTGATACCACACATCAGCACCCCCCTCTGTCCCTGATACAACACATCAGCCCCACCCTCTGTCCCTGATACAACATATCAGCCCCACCCTCTGTCCCTGATACTACACATCAGCACCACTCTCTGTCCCTGATACAACACATCAGCACCCCCCTCTGTCCCTGATACAACACATCAGCCCCACCCTCTGTCCCTGATACAACACATCAGCACCACTCTGTCCCTGATACAACACATCAGCACCCCCTTCTGTCCCTGATACTACACAACAGCACACACACAAACCCTCTGTCCCTGATACTACACACCAGCACCACCCTCTGTCCCTGATACTACACACCAGCAACACCCTCTGTCCCTGATACTACACACCAGCACCATACATCTGTCCCTGGGACTACACAACAGCACCACCTTCTGTTCCTGATACTACACACCAGCAACACCCTCTGTCCCTGATACTACACACCAGCACCATACCTCTGTCCCTGGGACTACACAACAGCACCACCTTCTGTTCCTGATACTACACACCAGCAACACCCTCTGTCCCTGATACTACACACCAGCACCACCCTCTGTCCCTGATACCACACACCAGAACCACCCTCTGTTCCTGATACTACACAACAGCACCACCCTCTGTCCCTGATACTACACACCAGCACCACCCTCTGTCCCTGATACAACACATCAGCACCACCCTCTGTCCCTGGGACTACACACCAGCACCACCCTCTGTCCCTGGGACTACACAACAGCACCACCCTCTGTTCCTGATACTACACACCAGCACCACCCTCTGTCCCTGATACTACACACCAGCACCACCCTCTGTCCCTGGGACTACACACCAGCACCACCATCTGTCCCTGGGACTACACAACAGCACCACCCTCTGTTCCTGATACTACACAACAGCACCACCCTCTGTTCCTGATACTACACACCAGCACCACCCTCGGTCCCTGATACTACACACCAGCACCACCCTCTGTCCCTGATACTACACACCAGCACCCCCCTCTGTCCCTGATACTACACACCAGCACCACCCTCTGTTCCTGATACTACACAACAGCACCACCCTCTGTTCCTGATACTACACACCAGCACCACCCTCTGTCCCTGATACTACACACCAGCACCACCCTCTGTCCCTGATACTACACAACAGCACCACCCTCTGTCCCTGATAATACACATTAGCCCCACCCTCTGTCCCTGATACTACACACAAGCACCCCCCTCTGTCTCTGATACTACACAACAGCAACACCCTCTGTCCCTGATACTACACACCAGCACCCCTCTCTGTTCCTGGGACTACACACAAGCACCCCCCTCTGTCTCTGATACTACACACCAGCAACACCCTCTGTCCCTGATACTACACACCAGAACCACCCTCTGTCCCTGGGACTACACACCAGCACCCCTCTCTGTTCCTGGGACTACACACCAGCACCACCCTCTGTTCCTGATACTACACATTTTCAGTTCCAGGTGAACAGGTCAAATGTTCCTTCACTATTTAGTAACAACATATTTTTGACAATTCCTCAGTACATTCAAGTAACATTTCAGGATTATGCCTGCTAAAAACAAATGACGCATACCCAAACAAGCTTGTGGTGGTCTCTCCCTCTTCACACCAGAACACATGTGAAGCAGATCACCTCAGTGGGAATCTTGTCAGTATCATTTGACGCTATTGTTCCTTTGAAACCTCCGGAAGTGCTTCAGTACATCTGCACTCATCTCCAGTGGTTTCTTAGTGATGATGCATAGTTTTGTTTAGCAAATTTGCTCTTTGTGCACCATCAGACATGGCTGTGCCATGAGTCATTCCACATGACCTGGATCAATACATAATCACATTTAAATAAAGTGAGGCCTTTTGTAGCAAGACAAAGTGATGCACTTTAAACAGTTCTCATGAAACCTTTTCCACCCTGCCTTTATTAATGAAATCAATCTGAATAGTCACAATTTCAAATGTATTGTTAAAATTTAAACAACATCTTAACCAAATCAGAACCTCAGCCTTAACATCCCTGTCTGAACTTCTCAGTAGCAGCTCAACAGAACACGGTCCAGGTATTGTATGGTCCATGTAAGATACCTCTCAGTTGCAGCCAAATAGAACACGGTCCAGGTATTGTATGGTCCATGTTAGATACCACCTCTCAGTTGCAGCCCAACAGAACACGGTCCAGGTATTGTATGGTCCATGTTAGATACCACCTCTCAGTTGCAGCCCAACAGAACACGGTCCAGGTATTGTATGGTCCATGTAAGATACCTCTCAGTTGCAGCTCAACAGAACATGGTCCAGGTATTGTATGGTCCATGTAAGATACCTCTCAGTTGCAGCTCAACAGAACACGGTCCAGGTATTGTATGGTCCATGTAAGATACCTCTTAGTTGCAGCTCAACAGAACACGGTCCAGGTATTGTATGGTCCATGTAAGATGCCACCTCTCAGTTGCAGCTCAACAGAACACGGTCCAGGTATTGTATGGTCCATGTAAGATACCTCTCAGTTGCAGCTCAACAGAACACGGTCCAGGTATTGTATGGTCCATGTAAGATGCCACCTCTCAGTTGCAGCTCAACAGAACACGGTCCAGGTATTGTATGGTCCATGTAAGATACCTCTCAATTGCAGCTCAACAGAACACGGTCCAGGTATTGTATGGTCCAGGTAAGATACCTCTCAGTTGCAGCTCAACAGAACACGGTCCAGGTATTGTATGGTCCATGTAAGATGCCACCTCTCAGTTGCAGCTCAACAGAACACGGTCAAGGTATTGTATGGTCCATGTAAGATACCTCTCAGTTGCAGCTCAACAGAACACGGTCCAGGTATTGTATGGTCCATGTAAGATGCCACCTCTCAGTTGCAGCTCAACAGAACACGGTCCAGGTATTGTATGGTCCATGTAAGATACCTCTCAATTGCAGCTCAACAGAACACGGTCCAGGTATTGTATGGTCCAGGTAAGATACCTCTCAGTTGCAGCTCAACAGAACACGGTCCAGGTATTGTATGGTCCATGTAAGATACCTCTCAGTTGCAGCTCAACAGAACACGGTCCAGGTATTGTATGGTCCATGTAAGATGCCTCTCAGTTGCAGCTCAACAGAACACGGTCCAGGTATTGTATGGTCCATGTAAGATACCTCTCAGTTGCAGCTCAACAGAACACGGTCCAGGTATTGTATGGTCCATGTAAGATACCTCTCAGTTGCAGCTCAACAGAACACGGTCCAGGTATTGTATGGTCCATGTAAGATACCTCTCAGTTGCAGCTCAACAGAACACGGTCCAGGTATTGTATGGTCCATGTAAGATACCTCTCAGTTGCAGCTCAACAGAACACGGTCCAGGTATTGTATGGTCCATGTAAGATGCCACCTCTCAGTTGCAGCTCAACAGAACACGGTCCAGGTATTGTATGGTCCATGTAAGATACCTCTCAGTTGCAGCTCAACAGAACACGGTCCAGGTATTGTATGGTCCATGTAAGATGCCACCTCTCAGTTGCAGCTCAACAGAACATGGTCCAGGTATTGTATGGTCCATGTAAGATACCTCTCAGTTGCAGCTCAACAGAACACGGTCCAGGTATTGTATGGTCCATGTAAGATGCCTCTCAGTTGCAGCTCAACAGAACACGGTCCAGGTATTGTATGGTCCATGTAAGATACCTCTCAGTTGCATCTCAACAGAACACGGTCCAGGTATTGTATGGTCCATGTGAGATGCCACCTCTCAGTACTCAGTTGTCAGTGAAAACATGAAGTCACATGGACCACTTTAAATAGAATTGTGTGTAGATTTAACGCTTCATCCTTCGAGGTTAAAAATAGTGACATAACAAATTCTAAGAACTGACTTTCACTTTGTATGAGTTCTCCAATGAACGTCCACCATGCCAGGCTTCTAATGAAAATTCAGCCATGTGAAGGGAGAAAACTCATCATGTCAGCATTTGCTGGTTGCAGAGTGATTGCAGAAGATTCTAGGTTCTACTACACCAAATCAGAATCAGTTGTTCAGATTGTGTCAGATTTTTATGTTTTTTAAATATCCATCCATCCATCCAGTAATTAAACTTGACCTTGTTTTTCAATATGTAGTGATGTCTGTTTTAACATGATGAATTAGGCCGCCCCTACAGATAAACCTCCGGTCAAAGCAATAAATAAACATAAAAACATTTATTTTTATTATGGTTCCCGCCAGTAAAATAGTCCCTCTTAAGGACTAAAACATATTATAACATATTTTCTTGAGTAAAGAGCACACGTCTTTAAAAAACTTACAGCTGTGTAGAGGGAAGTATGCAAAATACACAACAACAACGAGTTGTGATGTTTTGCCCCAACGCGAAGACATTACTATGAGCACTTAACACCGGACATACCATGTCAACAAGTCCTACTGAAGTACGTAAGACATTACTATGAGCACATAACACCGGACATACCATGTCAACAAATCCTACTGAAGTACGTAAGACATTACTATGAGCACATAACACCGGACATACCATGTCAACAAATCCTACTGAAGTACGTAAGACATTACTATGAGCACATAACACCGGACATACCATGTCAACAAATCCTACTGAAGTACGTAAGACATTACTATGAGCACATAACACCGGACATACCATGTCAACAAATCCTACTGAAGTACGTAAGACATTACTATGAGCACATAACACCGGACATACCATGTCAACAAATCCTACTGAAGTACGTAAGACATTACTATGAGCACATAACACCGGACATACCATGTCAACAAATCCTGCTGAAGTACGTAAGACATCACTATGAGCACATAACACCGGACATACCATGTCAACAAATCCTACTGAAGTACGTAAGACATTACTATGAGCACATAACACCGGACATACCATGTCAACAAATCCTACTGAAGTACGTAAGACATCACTATGAGCACATAACACCGGACATACCATGTCAACAAATCCTACTGAAGTACGTAAGACATTACTATGAGCACATAACACCGGACATACCATGTCAACAAATCCTACTGAAGTACGTAAGACATCACTATGAGCACATAACACCGGACATACCATGTCAACAAATCCTACTGAAGTACGTAAGACATTACTATGAGCACATAACACCGGACATACCATGTCAACAAATCCTACTGAAGTACGTAAGACATTACTATGAGCACATAACACCGGACATACCATGTCAACAAATCCTACTGAAGTACGTAAGACATTACTATGAGCACATAACACCGGACATACCATGTCAACAAATCCTACTGAAGTACGTAAGACATTACTATGAGCACATAACACCGGACATACCATGTCAACAAATCCTACTGAAGTACGTAAGACATTACTATGAGCACATAACACCGGACATACCATGTCAACAAATCCTACTGAAGTACGTAAGACATTACTATGAGCACATAACACCGGACATACCATGTCAACAAATCCTACTGAAGTACGTAAGACATTACTATGAGCACATAACACCGGACATACCATGTCAACAAATCCTACTGAAGTACGTAAGACATTACTATGAGCACATAACACCGGACATACCATGTCAACAAATCCTACTGAAGTACGTAAGACATTACTATGAGCACATAACACCGGACATACCATGTCAACAAGTCCTACTGAAGTACGTAAGACATTACTATGAGCACATAACACAGGACATACCATGTCAACAAAACCTACTGAAGTACGTAAGACATTACTATGAGCACATAACACCGGACATACCATGTCAACAAATCCTACTGAAGTACGTAAGACATTACTATGAGCACATAACACCGGACATACCATGTCAACAAATCCTACTGAAGTACGTAAGACATTACTATGAGCACATAACACCGGACATACCATGTCAACAAATCCTACTGAAGTACGTAAGACATCACTATGAGCACATAACACCGGACATACCATGTCAACAAATCCTACTGAAGTACGTAAGACATCACTATGAGCACATAACACCGGACATACCATGTCAACAAGTCCTACTGAAGTACGTAAGACATCACTATGAGCACATAACACCGGACATACCATGTCAACAAGTCCTACTGAAGTACGTAAGACATTACTATGAGCACATAACACCGGACATACCATGTCAACAAATCCTACTGAAGTACGTAAGACATTACTATGAGCACATAACACCGGACATACCATGTCAACAAATCCTACTGAAGTACGTAAGACATCACTATGAGCACATAACACCGGACATACCATGTCAACAAATCCTACTGAAGTACGTAAGACATCACTATGAGCACCTAACACCGGACATACCATGTCAACAAGTCCTACTGAAGTACGTAAGACATTACTATGAGCACATAACACCGGACATACCATGTCAACAAGTCCTACTGAAGTACGTAAGACATTACTATGAGCACATAACACCGGACATACCATGTCAACAAGTCCTACTGAAGTACGTAAGACATTACTATGAGCACATAACACCGGACATACCATGTCAACAAATCCTACTGAAATACGTAAGACATTACTATGAGCACATAACACCGGACATACCATGTCAACAAATCCTACTGAAGTACGTAAGACATTACTATGAGCACATAACACCGGACATACCATGTCAACAAATCCTACTGAAGTACGTAAGACATTACTATGAGCACATAACACCGGACATACCATGTCAACAAATCCTCCTGAAGTACGTAAGACATTACTATGAGCACATAACACCGGACATACCATGTCAACAAATCCTGCTGAAGTACGTAAGACATTACTATGAGCACATAACACCGGACATACCATGTCAACAAATCCTACTGAAGTACGTAAGACATCACCATGAGCACATAACACCGGACATACCATGTCAACAAATCCTACTGAAGTACGTAAGACATTACTATGAGCACATAACACCGGACATACCATGTCAACAAATCCTACTGAAGTACGTAAGACATCACTATGAGCACATAACACCGCACATACCATGTCAACAAATCCTACTGAAGTACTTAAGACATTACTATGAGCACATAACACCGGACATACCATGTCAACAAATCCTACTGAAGTACGTAAGACATTACTATGAGCACATAACACCGGACATACCATGTCAACAAATCCTACTGAAGTACGTAAGACATTACTATGAGCACATAACACCGCACATACCATGTCATCAAATCCTACTGAAGTACGTAAGACATTACTATGAGCACATAACACCGGACATACCATGTCAACAAGTCCTACTGAAGTACGTAAGACATTACTATGAGCACATAACACCGGACATACCATGTCAACAAATCCTACTGAAGTACGTAAGACATTACTATGAGCACATAACACCGGACATGCCATGTCAACAAGTCCTACTGAAGTACGTAAGACATTACTATGAGCACATAACACCGGACATACCATGTCAACAAATCCTACTGAAGTACGTAAGACATTACTATGAGCACATAACACCGGACATACCATGTCAACAAATCCTACTGAAGTACGTAAGACATCACTATGAGCACATAACACCGGACATACCATGTCAACAAGTCCTACTGAAGTACGTAAGACATCACTATGAGCACATAAAACCGGACATACCATGTCAACAAGTCCTACTGAAGTACGTAAGACATTACTATGAGCACATAACACCGGACATACCATGTCAACAAATCCTGCTGAAGTACGTAAGACATTACTATGAGCACATAACACCGGACATACCATGTCAACAAATCCTACTGAAGTACGTAAGACATCACTATGAGCACATAACACCGGACATACCATGTCAACAAATCCTACTGAAGTACGTAAGACATTACTATGAGCACATAACACCGGACATACCATGTCAACAAATCCTACTGAAGTACGTAAGACATCACTATGAGCACATAACACCGGACATACCATGTCAACAAATCCTACTGAAGTACGTAAGACATTACTATGAGCACATAACACCGGACATACCATGTCAACAAATATACTGAAGTACGTAAGACATTACTATGAGCACATAACACCGGACATACTATGTCAACAAATCCTACTGAAGTACGTAAGACATTACTATGAGCACATAACACCGGACATACCATGTCAACAAATCCTACTGAAGTACGTAAGACATTACTATGAGCACATAACACCGGACATACCATGTCAACAAATCCTACTGAAGTACGTAAGACATCACTATGAGCACATAACACCGGACATACCATGTCAACAAGTCCTACTGAAGTACGTAAGACATCACTATGAGCACATAACACCGGACATACCATGTCAACAAGTCCTACTGAAGTACGTAAGACATTACTATGAGCACATAACACCGGACATACCATGTCAACAAATCCTACTGAAGTACGTAAGACATTACTATGAGCACATAACACCGGACATACCATGTCAACAAATCCTACTGAAGTACGTAAGACATTACTATGAGCACATAACACCGGACATACCATGTCAACAAATCCTACTGAAGTACGTAAGACATCACTATGAGCACCTAACACCGGACATACCATGTCAACAAGTCCTACTGAAGTACGTAAGACATTACTATGAGCACATAACACCGGACATACCATGTCAACAAGTCCTACTGAAGTACGTAAGACATTACTATGAGCACATAACACCGGACATACCATGTCAACAAGTCCTACTGAAGTACGTAAGACATTACTATGAGCACATAACACCGGACATACCATGTCAACAAATCCTACTGAAGTACGTAAGACATTACTATGAGCACATAACACCGGACATACCATGTCAACAAATCCTACTGAAGTACGTAAGACATTACTATGAGCACATAACACCGGACAAACCATGTCAACAAATCCTACTGAAGTACGTAAGACATTACTATGAGCACATAACACCGGACATACCATGTCAACAAATCCTACTGAAGTACGTAAGACATTACTATGAGCACATAACACCGGACAAACCATGTCAACAAATCCTGCTGAAGTACGTAAGACATTACTATGAGCACATAACACCGGACATACCATGTCAACAAATCCTGCTGAAGTACGTAAGACATCACTATGAGCACATAACACCGGACATACCATGTCAACAAATCCTACTGAAGTACGTAAGACATTACTATGAGCACATAACACCGGACATACCATGTCAACAAATCCTACTGAAATACGTAAGACATCACTATGAGCACATAACACCGGACATACCATGTCAACAAATCCTACTGAAGTACGTAAGACATCACTATGAGCACATAACACCGGACATACCATGTCAACAAATCCTACTGAAGTACGTAAGTTAGACCTTTTATTACATTATCTTGTCATAAATAGTGGTCACTGGTTTTCTAGACTTATGCTTGTAATCAATTATTAATTTTATTCAAAATTTCATTCAATATGTTTTACATTAGTTTTGGTGAAATGATCATCAGCTCACATCGACTCACTGTTATTTACAGCAATCATGATCAGATTAGCACTATTGATGCCTTGAAACGAACCTTAGTTGGCAGAGAATGGATACATACTGTAAAGCTTGAAATTAACGCGAGCATGAATTAAACGCAAAAAATGCTAGTGGTCTTTGCTCGCATTAATTAACTTCACATATATATGTCTCTAAATGACTATCAACAATAAGACAGACACACTGCACACTTTGGATAGCGGAAATACCAACTTGAATATAAACACAAACACGGTTTATTGAGCAGCAGTTGTAACAAGTATATAACAATGTCATTCAAAGAATAGGAATTGCACAATGGGCATCCAGTGAGTTTTCACTGCTGGGGTCAAGAGTTCTACCCACTCGTGCCAAGCTTGTTGACACCTTCTCCGCATACCAATCAGTGAACTGTTGTTGGTTCAATTATTATATTGCCTTTGAACTTCCTTAATGCCAGTCAACAGAGTAAACATATTAACTGTTTGTTGTTTTTAGGAAATCACTGTTGATTGTTTTTACGGAAGTGCTCTACTCAGCCTTGATAAGCGGTGTATTTGTATTTGCTGTTTGAATTGATTAAGGATAGGTTGCATTAAGGTAAGGATATGTATCATTCCACCCAGGGGATGGGGTGGGGGGAGACGCATTGATATTGAGTCGCATTTTTGGCTAGGGGTCAGCAGTCGTATTGATTTGGAGACGCATTAATTTCCAGATAAACAGTATTTAATAATTGCCATACATGACTCGTTAAAAGCCATATATACTGAACAACAAAAGTTCCTGTGACATTGAATAAGATTTAATGCAGAGTTATGTTTTTTACCAAATCTGAGACAATTTCGGTTTGCAACAGATAAAAGCCTCCCATAAGTGTTCAAATGGTTTAATTTGCCATACTGACTTCAGACAATATGCGTGATTTCATAAAAAAACAAGAACATGCCAAAATGTCAATTTACAAATCAATAGCGTGTGTGTCCATCTCTGGTTGCGATGCAAGCTACACATCTTTGTCTCATGGAATGGACCAGGCGTCGCACAAAGTCCTGTGGGATATCTGTCCATATCTGCTGGAGCATGTTTCGAAGTTCCTGGAGTGTCTGTGGACGACGTGGTTGACGTCGAAGTCACATGTGCTCGATTGGTGAGAGATCAGGGGAGCGAGCCGACCAGGGGATGACATTCACGTTGTTTTGCTGAAGAGAATCCTGAACAAGTCGAGCAATATGAGGTCGGGCGTTGTCATGTTGAAAGTGTGGGCCTGGGCCATGACGACGCAAAAACGGTAGAACAACAGGGCTGATGATCTCGTCGCGGTAGCGCTGTCCATTGAGATTTCCCCCTTACACTATCAAACGCGCCTCTGTCTTGCTGTAATCCCACCCCATACCATCATGTTGCCGCCCCCGAACCAATCTTCTTCCATGACACAATGATTGACGTAACGTTCACTTCGACGTCGGTACACTTGAATCTGTCCAATGCTGTGGCTGAGGTGAAAACGAGACTCGTCAGTGAATAGAACTTGTCCCCACTGCATGGCCGTCCAGCGTAGATGCTGTCTGCACCACTGTAGACGTGCTTGACGGTATTCCTGTCAAAATGGGACGTCTGGCGGGTCTTCTGGCGACAATCCCTGCACATCTGAGGCTACGATGTACGGTTTGTGAAGATATTCGTCGAAGGCCAGGGATGCTTCTTGCAGTCACTGTTGCTGGCTAGAATCGATTTCATAGGTGTGTTGTTCGAATCCAGTTGTCTTGTTGAATATTGGTTACGCTTGGCCTGCCACTCCGAGGATGGTCTGTGACTGCATTCGTCTGTTGCCAACGTTGCCATAAACACCAAATGGTGTTTCTGTGGACGTTACATTGTCTTTCAACATCACATTGACTCGATCCTTCTTCAAGCATACCAATAGCTCGCAGACGCTCATTTTCGGACGGGCGTTGCATTTCGGAATGTTGAATAATTGCATAATTTTGTTGTTTTTCTGAGTGGTTGTTGTCAGCACGATGCTAAAAATGCATATTGAATCCCGTTAACGCCCATGTTTTTATACCCATTCTTGGGTAGTGAAATGCATGGGGCTTGCATAAAAGTCAACTTTTGCATGGAATGCATGCTTTTCTGTAGCAGTTGTGACTTGATTCCATACATGTACTACAATATTGAAAACCAAACTTAACTTGTTTGAAAAATACACTAAAATATTGGTGTGACAGGAACTTTTGTTGTTGAGTATATGTCATGGTTTGATTATTATATATGTCAACATGTTTTCGCAGGAAGATTCAAACGTGCCTGGCCAAACTGAAAGAAGT